AATGATGAAAACAAAAGCCAGAACTCAGTCACATGGCCGGCTTTAGCTGCAAAGGGTCCAGGGCGGTGACTGATAATAGCGGAAACATTGCCAAACTGGAAAACATCAAAGTATAGTTGGTGAGCAGGGAAGAAAGAATGGATGTTGGGGAGGTGCCCTGCAGTCCTTGGAGGAGTGGGCACCCCAGCACCCCAGTGTGAGCATTGCCAGTCGTAACATCCCTCTTTATTGCCTGGAGTCAACATTTTGTCAAATCTTTCCTCCTTCCTTCTCAACATTCCACACACAAAACGATATTTCCAATTAGATTTAAAAGCTAAATTTCAGGGGTTTCTGATAAACCTACTTGATGAAATATCTAGAAGACAAGCTTGCCCTGCAGAATGGGGATGCTTCTATATGCCACATGACCCTGGAAGCTCACTGTTCAAAGCTGATAGCCACACCCACAGAAATTGTTCCCCCTGGCCACCAGGTCCCCAAACGGCCGGGATGCTTTCAATTATTTTCCTCATGAAGAAATTTTAATTTATTCCCAAGTGCATATTTAAGGATCTAAAATAGAATTTTAGTAATTGAGCTTGGAAGAGCTCAGTAGGACTTAAAGGGCCACAGTCCATTTCTCCTAGCAGGCTTCCAGCCCCTAATGTTGCAGGAGGCCAGCTTCTCCAGACAGCTCAGCTGCTCCCAGGCCCAGCCAGTAGTGTAGGCCTTAGCTCAGAGACCGATGGGGAGCAGCAGTGAGCTGCTCGGCTATGGCCTGCCTGCAATGGAGTCAGAGTAGCTGGCTCCCAAGGTCCCCTGGATGTGGCCGCCCAAACGTCCAACTTCTCCTCTGGTAGTTCCCAGCAACCTAGGCGAAGCCACTTCTTATCTCCTTATCTTTTCTTCCTGGCTCCAGATTAGAGCCTAGACATTGTTTGGGGCCCAGCTCTTCCAGACTGTCACCCCCACCCCCACCCCTACATACACACACACACACACACACACACACACACACGCAGGTGAGTTAGTTACCGCATGGTGAGCATATCCCATCATTTCCTTCAGGAGGTCCACTGTGCCTTATTCATCATCTCCATCTAGGCTTGTTCCTTGAATGAAAATAGTCATCCTCCCAGCTATTCGCCTGAAGGGAAATCTGAACACGGTATATATAAGAGCTTACTGAGCCAGGCCACCTCCTCTTGTCCACATGGCCACGCACCTTCAACTCCCCAAGAGCTCAGGGAGAAAGCTGAGGGCCTAGTCATCTCATTTCTGGGCAAGTGTTGGCTTAGCACTTCACACACAGGGCCTGCCTCCAAGGAGCACGCAAACCAGTAGGGAAGCCACACACACAAGGGCTCTCTGAGGACACCTGGATGCGTCTCGCCCCGTCCCCCTCCTTTGCCTCTAGGCCTGTTTTTCTCATTCCTCTTCACCAGCACGTGCCCTTTGGTTTCCCTTCCTTGGAAGGGCCCTCTTCACTCACCAGTGGCAGCTGCCCAGATGTCTAAGTGTGGCAGGTGCTCTGGAATAAGGGGCATAGGATGTTTGCATGGTGAGAGGAGCCCCTGTGAAGACAAGGCCAGAAATTGCTGGATTCTCCTTGTCACTCCTGTCTTCTTGGCCTGTGTACCAGCTATCTCCATTTCTAGGCACACACCGTATGCACCAGGGCCAACCAGAGTACATTCCAACACCTTGCAGACCACAGGAAAGGAGCTCGGAGAGGTTTTAGTTTTGTTTCCACTGCTTTTATGGAAAAAAACAGGGTGGTTTTTTTTTTCTTTCTTGCAAAATATCACATTTTTCCCAATTGAAGGAAAATCAATTTTATTTTGTAATGTGTCTGACTTGCGAAGTTCCATTGCTGACCTGCGCTTGGCGGCTTCTCAGAACTAATCCCTGATCTCTTTCTTCTGTGCTGAGTGGTAGCCAGTCCTTTCTGAGCTAAATCGGGGCCACTTGTTTTCATCTCTCTAAATAAGTAGTGAGTTTGTTTTTAATAATGAAATGCAGAAAGGACCAAAGATGATGATGCATTAATCTTGGATTCTCCTTGTTTTATCACCAAGAAAACTGCTGCAGACGGAAAAAGGCAGGAGATCATTGTCCTGGATTCCAAGAGGAGCAATGCTATTAATATTGGTCTGACCGTACTGCCCCCTCCAAGAACTATTAAGATAGCCATTTTGAATTTTGATGAATATGCCTTAAACAAAGAAGGAATTGAGGTAAGAGAAGCTCTATACAACATTATTTGTGTTCTGTCATGCTTCACATATGTAAAGCGTTACTGTGTCCAATGTGACTTTCTCCGCAGGGTGGCTTGCCATTGTTCTGTGTCAGGCAGACTCTGAATAATGTTAATAATTCTCATTTTTTTTTAATTTCTGATGGTTTGGAAAGCCCTCCTTTGCCTATTAACTTCAGAGATCCTCTCTGGTTCATTTACTGACTTCCTTCTGACAGTACTCTGCCTATCTCAGCATGGAAGAAGAAGATGATAAACTCCTTAAGAGGCTAATAGAATCTTTTTTTTGTTTTTTTTGTTTTACTTGATTTCAAACCAAATATGTTTAATGACCAGTTTCAAAATTAGAGCTTTCAATGTGTGCTCACATCCATGTAAATGACTGTTTCTCTTTTGGAACTTGATGGGGTATGTAGATATATTTCATTTGCTAAGCTGGGGAACATGAGTCCACTGAGTCTTTAGCATTTGTTGATCTGAATGGCAGAAGTGGAGAGAGGTTGGGCGGCATGGCCATGACTAACTGGCTGATAGGTGCCCCAGCCAGAGCCACAGCTCACCTCTGCCAGGGTTCAGTGCTCTTCCACCAAGCCATGTTCTCCCTTCACTGTGGGCTGGTGATGGTTTGCAGCACATTAAATCTACTGTTCTAACAATGGAGAAAGGGTGAATGGAGCCATTGGCTCAGTCCACAGATTTCCTACAGATGGGCGATATAGCCTGGGATCCACTGGGTCAGAGGGGATATGAGGACACTGCTTTCTGGCATTGGGTGACACACACTCCATCTTCCTTTCCTATTCCTTTTATTCCTTTCCTGTTCCTCTCTAGATGGGATTCATTCATATACAGTCTTATTTGAAAGACTTGGAGTGGAGGGAACCAATGAGGACTGACTGTAGCGAGGTAGAGCAAACCCTAGACAGAAGGGTTGGACGTGAGGAATGGCTCAGGCCACTGTGTCAGACCTGCCCCCAACTCTGAGTATGGGAGGGAGCAGTGGGGTACATGGTGGCATCTGAACCCAGCTGGGCAGGCATAGCTTTGTGTCCTGGAAAGGAGAGGCCTCCATAGGAAACACTGTGTTCCTAGTGGTTTGTACTGGGATGAGCAATGCCCCTTCAAAATCCAAGCTCACCCGGAGCCCCAGAATGTGATCTTATTTAGAAATAGTCTTTGTAAGTGTGATCAAGTTAAGATAAAGTCATATTGGGTTAAGGTGGGCCCTATTCCAGTGACTGACATCCTTATAAGAAGAAGGAAGTTTGGACATAGATGCAGAGAGGGGACTACCATGTGAAGACAGAGAATATATAGGCAACACACAGAACAGAATGCCATGTGATGATGGTGGCAGGGATTGGAGTGATACATTTACAAGGCAAGGAATACCAAGGATTGCCTGCAAGCATCTGATGCTAGGGAGAAGCAAGCAAGGATCCTTCCCTAGAGCCTTTAGAAACAACATTGCCCAGCCGATACCTTGATGTCAGATGTCTAGTCTCTCAAACTATGAGAGACTACATTTCTGTTGTTTTAAATCCCCCAGTTTGTAGACCTTTGTTATGACAGCCCTAGGAAACCAATACAAGGCCTTAGCAGCTCTACTCTGAGCAACACACACACACACACCCTGTTTCAGGAGCAGGTACCAGGAGGGAACTGCATCTCCTGGCTGGAGAGGAGTTGAGCCCCAAGCCTTAGAGTCAGGCCATGAAGCAGAGCAGGTCATCGTATCCAGGTGGGGTGCCAGGGAGTGAGGGCATGTGGCCGACTGGAACAGCGGGTAGAAAGGAGGGAGCAGGTGACAGCAGGTAAATACAGAGAGGGACAATGAGACAGCGGCCAGACAGCAAGAAGGGGACAGGACAGGCCTTGGTGTGAGGCAGTCCCACTCTGGGACCCCCAGAGGAGCAAGGGAGGAGAAGGACATTGGCTTGCTGTTGGGCAGGTGGGGGCTGCCAACCGGGACAAACCAAGTGCAAAGAGTCTTTCATCTAAAACAAACAACATGGTGGGCCCTGGTACACATTCCAGCCATCCCATTTACATAACAATGTCTTTTAGAGATTGCAGAAACTTCAGATTGATACAAAGAGAGGCTCCAAATGCAACCAGAGACAGCCTGATTAAAGGAAAAAATGACAACATCCCCTTTTAAAAATATTTCCCCTTCTTGTCATGAGAACTTGAAAGTCCATCAGGAGAGATTGATTCCATTGGGTTTTGCCTTTGTTCTTTCCTGAAAAGTAGGTCTCCCTGGGTGGGAATAGTTTCAGATTCAATAAGTTACTTAGATTTTAGAATGAATCAAATTACTTTTTCCTTTCCTGACTGGTATCCAGCTGAGCACCTTTTTGATCCAGGAAGGAATAATGATAGCAACAGTAATGATGATGGATATAGGAATAGCAACAAAGCAAAAACCTGTCTTTCATCGATTTCTTCCTGTGGGCCAGGCACCAGGTAGGTGCTTTACACAGATGCTCATCAGAACCTTATGAGGTGCATACTATTAGGTTCCCCATCTTAAAGATGAAGAGGGTGAAGCCCACTTTAGTCTGTGTCCAAGCTCACAAGCCAGTGAGAAGTCAAGCTGAAATATGAGCTCTAGAGACTGAGTCCAAACTGCAGACCGTGGGGTTTGGGGGTGGCTGGCCCAGGAGGGCCCACGTGTGTTAGAGAGAATAAGAGAGAATCTGGAAGGGGAATGAGAAGACACATGAGGCAATGCAATCCACTTCACAGTGCTGCGTAGGATCTTTGACCGAGAGTAGTTGATGTATGGAATAATATACAGTGAGAGGACACAGCCATAGAAAACCCTGCTAAGCCCTCCCTGAGAGTTTAATGTGTCCCCCAGTCCTTAGCAAATCCATATGTAGTCACAGAAACACATTTTTTTGTAATCATAGTTCTCATCTAAAGCAGGATTTCTCAAGGGCAGACTATTGACATTCTGGACTGGACAATTCTTTATTGTAGGGGCTGACCTGTGCATTGTAGGGTGTTTAGCATTATCCCTGGCCTCTACCCACAAGCTGCCAGGAATACCACCCTAGTGATGACAACTAAAAAATGTCTGCAGATTTTGTCAAATGTCCCCTGGGGACAAAATCACTCCGCTTGAGAACCACTGATCTAAAGGCTGCCTGTATCAATCCAGAAACCGTGTATATTTTTCAATTCAGTCATGGCTGAGAAGAGTCTAGCAGACAGTGGTTCTCTTGGAGAACATGGAATCCAGTCACTTTCGGCCATCACTTGCTGTCTCTGGCTACTGATCTCAGGGACCCGGGGAGCATGCATGGTCTATATCTACGTGCCGAGTCAGTTACCCAGAGCTTCTTCTCTAGGCTTGTTGTCCAAGAGTTAAGCCAGGACTGAGAAGAGATGGAAGCTGTGCCCTTACAGATCTTTATTAATAAGATTTCTAGCTCCTGTACAAAGGGCCTTTTGCCAAACTATCTGCTCCTGGGATGCAGGCACTGTAGCATGGCATTACAGCCTAATAGGGCCATTTGAAACCTCTGTGTACCTAAATGTGATTAGGATGTATTAAATGACATCCTGTGGCTGTGCTTAGCAACCCAATGGCGTGCATCCGGTTTGTCATGTAAACCTGGGGAAATAGTTAACTAGCTTCATTAAGGAAGTCATTTTCCATAAGAGCATTAGACTTTAGAACATTATTCGGGGGCCATTTCTAAGTAGTATTAATGATATTTTTGCAAGTAACATATCATTGAGGTATCACAAATGGGAGTATGAAGAGTTTTCCTCTTTTTTTCTTGCTTTGCTAATTTTTATAGAGCCTGTACCTACTCAGAGGGCAGCAAAATTGAATGGCCCCAAATGACATTTAACTTGGTCCTTTGGCTGCCAGGCCTGTCAGCATCCCAGAAACAAAAGTACCCTTTGGCCACAAGTACAAAACTACAGCACCTTTTCAAGCCCTTTGTCTTATGCAGCCTGCATCTCAAGATGCCTGAGTGGGTGCTAGACACACGCAGGTGGGCCGAGTGTGGGCATCAGAGTCGGTCAGCAGTGCCAAGGAACCAGAATGCACCGATGGCTGGGCACCTTAGCCACACTGTTAGTTTTGTATTTCCAGTTGAATTGCCGTGACCTGTGGAGCTGATACTGGGGAAACTAGGCGTAGCCCCATGGGTGGTTCTCCAGCTCTGCCTCGGTTGACCCAACCTAGCTTCAGGCAAGTCACTTATCTGCAAGTTTGGTGCAATAATTTCTGCTCCGTGTGCCTTACTGAGTAGTCACAAACATGAAGAGAGGTACTACCAAGACACCTTGAGAAGTAAAAAAAAGTTCTGTGTCGTTGAGAATAAGTACACAAACAGAAAGCCATTGTCTCATGAGAATAGGCAAGTTATGTACAAACCAGGCTCAGCAGTCAGGGCTTCAGCTTTCTGCTGTTGCCACCCAAATCCATGCTAGATGCTCATCCAGAGCTGTAGCCAGGGGTTCTGTTCAAGGCAAAATAGCTACTCATTACGGCCTCACCGGCAGGTGAAAGAGAGAGCCCAACCCAAAAGCATCTGGGTCCATAAAAAATGAGACTTGTGCATTTTTCTCTGAAGTACTGCTTCCAGATACAAAAGCACGTATACTTCAAGCAGTGCTGGAGAAACGCTGTCTGGGAGAAAGTGGAAAAAACACCGAGCTTATTGCGTAGTGGCCTTGTTTGATGTTTTTCTCTCTGTGGAGCCAAATGGTGATCCTAAAATTGTCAATAAATCTACCGACAGGGTAGAAGAGCAAATTAGAGGTTCCCTCATGCTTATCCCCTTTCATGTACTCATGGAAAAAATGGCCATCAGCTCATAGGAGGCGGCTTTGACCTGCCGTTCCACTCTCATATGGCTATTTTATTGTCAGTGATGTGTAAAACATAATAAAATAAACTGGCAGATGGCAACCTTATAAATCTTCAACAATGAACAAATGGTTTAAATTAGTCAGAGATGTGAAAAACAAAAGTAAGAGTGTTTGATTACTTTCCCAAAGAAAAAAAAAGCAACTAAAATCATTGCAGGAAAATGCCTTCTGAAGAAGGGGGAAAAGTGTTGACAATTTTTTGTTTTGGAATTCTTGTACATCCTTAATACAGTGTGAGCATGCAGAAAATTAAAATACAAATTTTAGCTAAATTTTTATTTTGAAAACTAGTTGAGTTCAAATCCTGGGTATTTTTAAAGAAGTAACATCTGCTTGGATTGCTTTGGTTATTTTTTAATACCGTCTGTGTGGACAGGTAGGATCGATAGTATGACCTTGTGGGGAAATAAGGAGCATTGTCGCTAACTATCACCCCTGATGCTCACATTCCACCCACATAATCTCAGATTTGGGGCCATGATGAAGGAAATGTCGGAAGAGGAGGTATCTGACACCTCACTCTGACTACAGCACAGAACACACACCTTCAATGCAGTTTGGCACCACTGGCTTCTGATAAATGACTGAGACAGCCCTCCTTGATAACACTCTCATCAAATTCAGGGGACTTCTGCCCTACCCAGTTATGTCCGGAGGCACAATCTCTAAACACCTGCGTGTTTGCTGATTACAATGTCAGATGTCCAGTTTTTTATTTATTTTTAATTTGTTGTATTAAGATAGAGTAAAATTGACATTTTCGGTATACATTTCTATGAGTTTTACAATAGGTATAAATGCATGCAATGACTGCTGTAGTCAGGATTCAAAACAGTCCCGTCTCCCAAAAAATGGTGCTCTTACGCTGTCCCTTCCTAGTCACACCCTCAGCCCACCCCTGGCCTCTGGTAACCACTGATGTATTTTCATCAGTGTGATTTTGTCTTTTGGAGAATGTCACGTAATGGAACAATACCTTTCGAGGCTGGCTTCTTTCATTTAGCATGACTGATACCTTTGAAAGTCATCCCAGTTGTGCTATGTGTCTGGAGTTTGTCCCTTTTTACTTTCTGAGTTCTCTTGCATTGTAAAGATATAGTATAATTTGTTCAATCAAATGTTGGAGAATATCTAGCTTGGTCCAGATTTTGGCAATTATGGATAAAGCTGCCAGAAGTATATATTCATGTACAAGGTTTTGTGTGACCATGAGTTTTAATTTTTTCTAGGGTAATTATGTACAATTGGAATTGCTTGGTCCTATGGTAACTCTGTGTCTAACCTTCAGAGGAACTATAACTTGTCTTTTCATTCTCTTAACATTGTCTTTCACAAAGAAAAAGTTTTCAGGTTGGATGAAGTTCAGTTTATCAATCTGTTCCTTTTTGGTATTGTCTCTAAGAGTTCATTGCCTAACATGGGTCACAAAGATTTTCTCCGATGTTTCTTTCTAAAAGTTTTGTAGTGTTACATTTTACTTTTAGATCTCTGATTTCTTTTGAATTAATTTATGTATAAAGTGTAAGGTTTAAGTTGAGGCTCATTGTTTTGCATAAGGATTCCAGCTGTTCTAATACCATTTGTTGGAAATACCATCTTTTCTCCACTGAACTGCCTTTACACCATTGTCAAAGCCAGTGGGCCATATTTTATAGTCTATTTCCAGACTCCCCGTTTTGTCCCCTTGATCCATGTGTCCATCCTGTTTCCCATACCACACTGTCTTATTACTGTAGCTTTATAGTAGATTTTAAAGTCAGGTGGTATGACCAGTCCACGGCTCTTTTAAAAACTTGTGTTGGTTCATCTGCCTTGCCATATAACTTTTAGAATCAGCTTGTCTATATCCACAAGAAAATCATGGTATTTTGATTGGAATTGACTTAAATTTATAGACCAATTTTGGGAAAATTGACATGTGACTCTCTTGAGTCTTTCAGTCCATGAACATAGCACATTCCCCCATTTATTTCGATCTTCTTTGCTTTCATCAGCATATCCTATTTTCCAGCCTACAGACCCTGCACATGATTTGTTAGATTTATACCTAAGTATTTGATTGTAAATAGCATTTTTCTTAAATTTCAGTTTGTAATTGTTCATTATCAATATACAGAAATAAAATGGATTTTTCTGTGTATTAAGCTTATCTCATGCAACATTATTAAACTCACTGTTTTATAAATTTTTTGTAGATTCCTCACAATTTTCTATGTAGACAGTTATGCCATCTGTAATATGAACAGTTTTAATTTTTTCCTTTCCAATCTGTATTTTTTAAAAAATTTTATATACCCTGTCTTGTTTCCAATCTTAGAGGGAAAGCATTCAGTCTGTCACCATTAAGCATGATGTGAGCTGTAGATCATTTTTATAAATGTCATTTATCTAATGTGGGAAATCCCTCCTACTGCTGGGCTGCTGAGAGTATTTTTTTTGTTATGAATGGGTATGGAATTTTACCAAAAAAATTTGGCATCAATTGAAATGATTATGTGAACTTTCTTGTTCAGACTTAGGTAGATTAATTGCATTGCTTGATTTTTGCATATTGAACCAACCTTGTGATTATTATTTTTATTATATTGCTCAGTAAAATGTAGCACTGTGTTTATCTATCTTAATATATTGACATTGATTTATATTTTAAAATATTTTGTTAAGGGTGTTTGCATCTAGATTCATCAGGGATATTGGTCTGTAGCTTTCTTGTACTATCTTTGTTTAGTTTTTTTGTATCAGGTTAATTCTGGTTTCATATAAAGAATTAAAAACTATCCCTCACCTGTTTGGGATCAGACCACAGGTTTTGACCTGTGGATTGTGGCTCCAGCTCAGTTTTCAGTTTTCAGTTTTCAAAGGCTGGCTCAGGTCTCCAAGTCTTTGACGTGCTGTTTAAGGTCAGATTCGCATACAAACAGCTCAGGGATGAGCCCAGACATTCTTCAACAACTTTATACACTTGTTTTGCCAGGCTCTTCATTTTCTATGAACTCCCCAGTACTTTCGAGTCCCTGGGGCCTTCCTTTTTGGCCTTCCAGCTGAAAGCTGACAGAGTTACCTCACTTTGTCATCTACTTTCTGTGACTCTGCCTATGTCTGGGACCAAGCCAAGGGAAGCCAGAGAAGAAAAGCAGATGAGGTTTGCCCCACATTCTTGGGACCACAGCATCACTGATTGGACAGGAAGATTCCCTCCCTCAGAGGTTTAGGTGCTTGCTAGCCCCTGCGGCCACAGCTGTCACTGCTGGGATTCCCTTTTCCATGTTCCAAGTCAGGATTAGAGGGTTTCACTAGAGCTCTCTCTGCCATTTCAGCCTGCCCTGAGCCCAGGCTGGGAAATGCCAGAGGAAATATAGTCAACTCATTACCAGTCCAGCTGAACTCCAATTCTGGTCTTTTTCCCCAGTCTACCTGCCACTATTTATTTTTTTCATCCCCAAATAGCTGTTCCATGCATGCTATCCAGGGTGTAGAGTTGCATTCAGTGGGACAGACAGGGTGGGGTGTACCTTCTTCATCTCACCCAGAACCAGAACTTCCTCCCACTTGTTATCCAGATGCTTGCTACTGTAGAGCAGTAACCAAGGCCACTTAGAATTAATTAATTAACATGCTACAAAATAGTATGGTACAAAGTATGTTTCTTTGGTTTGATGCTAGATAAGGAGAAATGAGAGAAAAATAATGACAGCATAACTTAATGCTATATGTGATGTGTCATATGATAAGAATGTTTACCTTCTTTTAAAATGTAATCACTAAAAATTTGAATCTGTAAAAATCATAATCCTTCTGATGCCATTTTGCTTTCTCTGCCTTCTATTGATTTTAACCAGAAACAAA